CAAGCAAGACGCGTGGTGCCGAGTCAAAAGTTCGAAGTTCGGACTTCGGACTTTTGGAGGCGCTGAGCTGAGCTGTGAGGTCACCCTTGCCTGATCTCGAAGCCCAGCGCCTCCAACCGCTCCCTGTGGCTGACTCTGTGCCTCCGCTTCGAGGATGCCTCAAGGTCCAACATCCACGGAGCGGCTCGCATTTTTCAAGATGGCCTCGTTTCACCCCTGGGTGAGGGCCATGTCCATGCCATGCAGGCGTCAAAATTTGGGTGTGGGTCAAAACCAATGGTTCCATGTTGGGGTAGGTGCACCACCCATGTTAGTCTATTTTCGTGGGGATTGGGATGTTCACTGGGGGTACGATTTGGATTTTGACCCATGGCCATTTGATGAGCCTCGGCCAAGGCTCTGCTGGAGCCCCGGTTCCTGACGCCGGCGCTGAAGGACCGCGTGAAGCCCTTTCCGCGGACCCAGAGCGGAGCCTCGGAGTCCACGGTGACCAGCAGCAGCAGCTACCGCAGCGGCTACCAGCTGCTTGGATGTGTTTAGGACAATTCGACAGGGCTCCTTAAAAGATACATTTTGCCCATTTGAAACATGGCTTTTTCCACCAAAATGAAGGGAACCCACTTTTTACAAGGCAATGTTCAGGTGTATAATGTAAGGATCCCTGTTCGACGCGGGGTGCACCTTGCGCTCAAGAGGTGGTTCAAGCATGCCCGCCTGCTTTATGAATGGTGTACGTTCACTCTGCTTTGCTCAACGCCTGATCAAAGATTGTTATTCCAAGCTGTTTGCGTTTGTTGTATACCTTGTGCCATGGTGCCTTTATCCAAGCTCGCCCTTGATCAATGGAATCATGGGATTTCTTTTGAAGGTTTTGAGGTTGGCAGGCGGTCGAGGCTTGAGGCTTGCGGCTTCCTTTGCGGCCTCAGGAAGAGTATGTCGATGCCTGGCACCCCGGCCAGCAGCGTGTCCTCCGCGGCCCGCACCCTGGGCGCAAAATGGCTGTGGTTGTCAAAACCAATGGGATCCCATGTTGGGGTAGGTGAATTCACCACCCATGTTAGTCTATTTTAGTGGGGATTGGGATGTTCACTGGGGGTACGGGATTTTGAGCCATGGCCAAATCAGTCAGTGAGATGGAGAGATCTCATTGGGAACTTCTTGCGTGGCTTGCGACGCAACCAGTTAGCCTCTGGACAAGTTGAAGCCTCCCATGCGCAATCCTCATGGCTCCTGTATGGCATCATGGCATCATGAGTTGTGAGCTCAGGCAGCACCTCCCAGCTGAGCGAGGAGCGCTTCACCACGCTGGCATCGCTCAGCTCCTTGAAGGGTACCCTGGACGTCCCGCCGCCCCAGAAGCCCCAGCTGCCCCGATGTGCGCCTCGGAAATCACCTGTGCCGTTTGCTGAGTGCCAGGTTGCAGGCATCTTCCTCTTCTGTTTTTTTGGGGGGCGGTGCTGTGGGGGACGTCATTCGTCCGATATCGCAGTTTGAAGTTTGACGTCCAGGCAGAGGTCTGGCGAAGGGCCCTCCGAACCCCAAAGTGCGTGCTCCCGTGAAGCAGGTTGCGTTGCATTAAATAATGCGGGATCAGTTGCCTCGAGTTGTCAAGATGGCTGACACGCAAACGGCATTAGGGCGGAGCATGTGAAGAACTCGAAGGCTGAGCCGCCTCGCCGCAAGGCTTCGAACGCGACGGATGAGACAGAGAGCGTGAGCCAGATGAGCCAGAGTGTCCAGAGCATCTACCAGACCCAGACGTCTTTGAACTCCAACTCCTCTCGTGGCAGCTACCAGAAGACCACGTCGCTGCCCTCCACCATGTCGGGTAAGTCTGGGGGCACCACGGCCGAAGCCATGCGGAGTGCAATCCAGGGGTCAGGTTGCACATGCCAAGTGCCCCGCGCCAAGGCATCCCGTTGGATCGGATGGAGAAAGAGGTGAAGGACCTGCGTGCCATGCTCAAGGTTTTGGCCACCAAAAATGAGCAAGCCGTGCGCCCTTGACCGGGAAAGCACTTCCCAAGCCAGAAAGCGCCCTTTGCAGCTCAGGCAGCCAGTGAGGACTATCCTGTTGTTGTCGAATCACCCATGGTTTTTTTGGGGGGGCAGTCGGACCATGTGGCTCAACAGCTGTATGCTCAATGGGACCTCCTGGCTTGGTGCACAGACGCCAGGGACCACGTGGGCCTTGGCAAGGGTAAGACACCTTCCGCTGGGGACTCCAGGAGTTTACCTGGGACGGGCAGGCCGGTGTTAATAGGACGAGCCAACTGCTTTGGACCCTGGGGCTTCTTTGGGACACCAAGGGGGCGCCAACCTGGCAGTTGGTCGAAACAAGCCTGGCAAAATCAGCTGACCGCGAGCCGACCTTTGGCAACTCCATGCGGGCGATGGAAATTCACCAGCTGCCAGGCTTTGCCGCGCTTGCTCCGACGAGCGGCGGGGTCTAAAGTGGTCTTGGGATTTTCCTGTGCGCATGCTTGTTGGAAATGCGCGCATTGCCATCAAAGGCGTGCGCTTGCAGCTGCAAGCATGCTGGCCTGCCCGCATGCCAGTCCGTGCGGCTGTGCCTGTGATTCGCAGAAGCTTCCTTGACTTGAGAAATTGCTGACGGTCTCAAAGTGGCGAGCTGTGTCGTCTTCATTGCTTCACTAAGTCCTCAAGGGAGCTACTTGGGTCGGCTTTCTCCAACGCTGGCTCGCTTCAAGTTTGAAACCCGGCAGGACTCTGAGAGGCGAGACCGTGATATCTTCATTTGACCGGGAATTTCAGCACGATTGGGAAGGCTTTGGGAGGTGACGTGCCACTTAAACCACGAACTTTGCACCGCGGTGTCTTTACGGGGACAATGGGCCGAATTCAATCCCAACTAGGGTTGAAGGATAGCTAGAGGACATGGAACTAAATGATAAGATCCTCCCACCTGGGGAAGGCGTGAGCTTAATCCTTGATGCTTGGAGCCGTTCCCTTTCTGCAGGTCGTAGCTTGCCTTGCTGGAAGCGTCTAGTGCAACCAATGAATTCCGGCTTCAGCGCGGCCTGACGGCCCTGAGATGGCGGCCCAAGGGGCTTCGAGATTTTGTGGCGCCAGCGCCGCTCTCGAGGGTAAAGAAGGCCTTTGCCTCTGCGGCGAAGTCAGCTCACAAGGCCTGGTGGAAGCCTGACAAGTGGGCCCTTTCCTTGTGAGCTTTCCGCATGGGCGCTTGGGTGCGCCCTCAGGCCTGAATTTCCAGCTTTCTCAGTCACCCAGATCGCTTTCTTGCTGAGTTGGTCAACCAGATTTGCTTTGGGAGTTGGGAGTTGGTGTTCGTCAATGCGAGAGATAATTGCTGGTGTTGCTTAGGTCAACTCAGCAAGGTGGTACATGAAGCATGTAGAAGTTTTCGTACGTGCCTTGGGTGCAGTGTGAGAGAGTTTCGCACGTCTGAGCATTCTCTCTGAGGGGCCCATATAGTGACCGCCTCAGTGCCTGCTGCCATCTATGGAAGTGTGGACACGTTTTCTGAATTTGGGTTTCACTCTGCAATGGATACCCTGAGTAGTAAACCCCCCCTCCCCCCTTCAAGGTTGACAAGGTTTTGACAAGTCCCCAAAACTGAGGCTTTTTAGAGGACTTCCCTTAATCTGGAGCCCCTTCGGTCCTCGCCCTCTTACTTCTGGCCCTTTCTAGGCAATAGGACTTTAAAAGGCAACATCATTTTTTTGTTTTGAGCTCAAAAGGGCCCTTATTAATCGCGGGGGTTTTCTGTTAATGAGGGGGGGAGGGGCTGGCCTCCAAAGGGGGTCCCCTTTGTGAGCTTGAACAAAAAAAGACATCGGAAAAAGCATCTTAGGAGAAGCACATTTTTCGGGAAACCTTGACGGGGTTCAATAGTGACTTAGTATTGGTGGGTTTAAGCACAGACTAAGCAAATAAGCGAAAAGGAAAGCCAATTTTCTGCCAGGTTTTCTTGGCTTCGGGGCTGCAGGGAGGTACCTTTTCTCAGGAGGGTTTTTGAGGAGGCCGAAAAATGTTGGGTAGGGTTTTTTGGGGCAAACCTTGTTGGCACTTTACTTTAGTATTGGTGGGATTCTGGCAGGGAGAAGGAGAAACCTTGAATCCGGGGGGGGGTCCTTTCGCTCGCTGACATCACAATCGCAAGTTTTGTTCTGTGAGCAGTGCCTGGTCAAGGGAAGGATCATACGCAGCAGACAGGCAGCCAGCCCAGCAAAGAGAGGCCCATCATGGCACAACTTGTTAAAGGGAAAGCCACGGAAGGCAGTGCGCAATCGGAGAGGGTGGGCTTCTGCTTTTCACTTCGATCGACTTTCTGTGGAGCGAAGCCGCTGTCTTGGCAAACGCCCAAGGCGGTGAGGAATTTCCAGTCCGGTAGGTCCAGGGGCATGCATTTTGTGTTGCAGCTGGTATGCGTTTGACACACGCTGATTCAAAGCCTCTCCCAAGTGAAGATCAGAGCATGCCCCAGGGGCAAGCGCGCGCGAACTGGCGCGCTAAGTGGGTCTGCCGGTTCTCTGGATTCCGGGCGAAGCCGTGCCGCCTTGCCAGAAAATCTGAAGGCCGAATTCACTTGCGCGTTTGGTCTCTCGAGCGATCAACCGCCCCAGCGCTCAGGGGACTCCAAGCGCAGCCGGGTTGACCCGAAGAGGGGCAGCCCTGGAAAATGCGCACAGATGTCTTTTTCACAAATGGCATGATGTACATCAGAGGTATGGACGTCCCGAGCTTGGGGCTGTCGGTTGCCTCTGGCCAGAGCGCTCATTCACTACAGCTCTACCTGGAGGGCAAAGAAAAGTGAGCTTACTGAGGGTGTCAGCCGCCCTGGGCCATTCCTGGTTTAGGGCCAGTATTGTCGCAAAGGCATTCTATGCAGCGGTGTCTCCAGCGCTGCTCAGCCAGACATGAAAACCAAGCTCCACTCGGCTTCGCGCCCAAATGAAGGCTAGCCAGGGCAAACGTGTTTGGATTTCGGCGAGGCTGTGTGTTTGACTCCCAACTGAGGCTGAGCCTGGGACGATTTGCCGATGCACAGCTTTGAGCTGAGGGGGGTGGGGTGAGGGGGGAAGGCTAGGCTTTCCGTTATTGAAAGAGGGCACGTGCACAGGAAGGCTTGTTATGATTCATAAGCTGCTTTGATCACAAGATGGCCGCTCTGAGAGTAAGTTACATTCCCAAAATGACTCAGGTGAGAGTTCCAGCTGCCCGTTCTGGTCATTTCAGGTCTCACTGAGGTTGGGGTAACCTATGCAATCCCAGAGCTGGGCCAAAGGATGGATCTAGTTTGAAGCTGGAGTCCTTTCACAACATCTGAGCATGGTCTCACTGGGAATTCAAAGGTTGAAACAGGGCTCTGCACGCGCTCTCTCATATTTCTCCCACGGCCCCTTCCCCGAGGGCCAGCTACATCCTTGCGGTGAAGAACGACCCGGTCACGGATGGGTATCTGGCCCTGGCCTTAGGCTTCGGGGCGGAAACTTCAGCCCTGTTGCTTCACTGCCTCCCGAATCCTCCCGAAGAGCCTCTCCTGCAGAGGGGTGCATGTGTGTAGGCTAGGTGTTGAGGTGTTGGTGACTGCTGGCGTCCCTGGAGTTCCTCTCCCAATGCGTAAGGAGCATGGGTCAGTTTTGCTGCGTCTCGTGGGGCAAATTTGTTGTCCAAGGCCGGCCTGGGCCAAGCAACGGAGAAGTTGATGCAAGGCGTTCGCATGCGCACGAGCGGGCACACATCTATGGTCGAGTTCGGGGGCTTGCGCCGGGCCACAAACACGTGTATGAATGCATGGCACTCGGCGGATTTCAAGCGACCGTCAAGCCGGTGAGTACATCCTTTGATGTGAGGACAGCACCTCTCTTGTGCCAGGCAAGTCTGCCAGCGACCGGCAGGCGGAGGCTGAAGCCAAGAAGGCCAAGGGCCGCTTGACTGAAGCGATGTCGGGGGAAGGGAAACACCGAGTCAGGAATTCACAGATTTTTTCAGCGACTAAGCTTCCGAAATTTTAAACGGCCAGATTCAGAAACAAAACTAGGCCGATTCAGAAGAAGGCCTGGTTCTGGAACTAAAGATGCCTGACTGCCGGGGGGTGGGGGGGGGGTGTTGGGTACTCTTGGGTACTGTCCGAATTTTGCATTTTTCGATTCTTGGGTTTCCAAAGCAGGCCAAGTTGGCACCGCAAAATTCCGCATGACCATCAAACAGGCTCGCATTTGTTTGGCGCACCCTAGGCATTCACCTCATAGCGCTTGCCCACCCCGCCTTGTTTGTTTACTGGAAAAGTCAGCGCATTGTCGTGCTGATTTGCCTCATGCTGACCTCAAAATCTCAGGCTTTGCGCTTCTCAGCCTCCGGACGATTGCGTTGCCATTTTTTTTGCAGCCAAACTCCCAATACCCCGTTGGTGGGGCCAGTTTTTTGGTACCCGATTTGGCTTAGGAAATGACGCCCTGAAAGCTGGGCAGCTGCCCTTGGCCATCGCTTGCTATACCATGGCCATCTCAGTGCGCGGCTCGGAGCGTCGGAGCGCGCTTCGGTGTCCTTTCACGGGCCAGCCGTGCGGTCCCATGAAACGTCCCTAGACTTCAGAGCAAGAAGCCGACCATGAGGTAGGACCCCTACTAGTTGTTGCGTCGCCGCTTTTCCTTCCTCTTTACATTTGCATGCCCCAAAAATACCAAACCAAACCCTTGACGTGCTGCAGAGACACGGAACGCTTTGGCACAACTGCCAGGCTTGATTTCCGAACTGCAACAAACCCGGCAACAGATTGTTCAGGATTGGTAGGCTGCGTGAAAAAGCTTCCCTGGTGCCTGAGGTGGTGAAGCCGCTGATTGAAAGCGCGAATCTGAAGCAGACAGCCGGGACCCCAGACTGGGAATTTGGAATGTGCAGTGGGTTTGTCAAAGTGGTGCCCCGAAAAGAAACCTGGTAGTTTCCTACTTCTGAGCTCCTAACCCAACAGCGGAACCTCCAAAACCACACCCATGCCATTTTTCGGGCTAACAACAAGCTGACGCCCACTCGCAGGTTAGGATGCACCCCTAGAGGCCAAGCCTTACCGAAAAAGTTTGTTAGGCGGCGGTGTACTCATCGAACCGCTCCGCCGCCTTCGCCAAGCTGAAGTTGGGGCGCCCAGGCGCCAGGTCCGGGTGGGTGGTGAACCATGGGTTGTGCATGGGCGCCATTGTGGTTTTCCAGTTTCTGCATATTTGCCGAATTTTTTGGAAGGCTCCGGGCGATGGATGCCACTGGGCTTCTTTCTTACTGAGTCCTGGGGTTCCGAGGGTGCTGCCAAGGCACTGGCACTTTTCGCTGGGAGATGCCCAGGAGGCGGCCCGCCTCAGCTGCTGCCTTGGCGTGATTGAAGTTTGGTAGGGGAAGGGCGTGACACGTCGCAAGATGAAGATGGAGGTTCCCTGTTGTATTGGAGGGCAGATGCAGCCGCAGCGCGGGGTGGGCTTGACTTGTGCGACTCTGTGAACCACCCCATGTGTGCATTTGGCCCGCGGCAAGCCGGCACTCAGCTGAGGCCCGCAGTGGTACAAGGCCCAGCTGCGTGTCGCCACAGCGTACTTGGGGCAGGGCCATGCCAGATGCTCAAAGACTGGTCCACCCGCGGCATTTTCACTTGATGCGCTGAAGTTGCTGGCATGGGGCAAGAGGTCGGCGATAGGAGGAACCCTTGCCAAGGCAGAGCATGCCTACAAGTCTCGGGCCCAGCATCCCGAGAAAGCCAGAAAACGAAAGCCCGAGCGGTGAACTCAAGTCGCCGAAAGCCATCCCTTTGATGTTTTGGTTGGTGGGACATCCCATCACCCCGTTGGTTGATTAGCCAGTCGGGGTTGTGAGTCCAGGATTCAACTTCGCATGGGTGCCTTCAGTGACTGGGGCTTGGGTGAGTTCAGGTGATGGGAAGAGCTCAGGGCTTTGCGTTGTCGTTGCGCAACACCAGCACGGAAGAAGATCTATCTCATCAACCTTATTCCTAGCGTGTGTGCCATTTGTCATTGACCTCAAACTGCTGCAGCCATGCCCATTGCATCAACCTTCTCCTTGTTTTGCTCCTTGGCATGGGCTCTCCATGCACATCACTTGTAGCCGGCCCATGGGTGCTTTTGGAGTCTCTCGCCCCAGCCTTGGCCTCTTGGCCCCTAGATCTGCCCAAGCAAGTCGACACAGACCGGCTTGGCGTTTGATCCGTTGGGTGGCTGCGGGCTGGGGCAGTTGGGTTCAGGACTTACCTCTTTGCCAGCGACCTGCCACAGGGCCTCGCGGAGGCCATGAAGGAGCCACGGGCACAACGATGAGATACTCAACCATGGCACAAAGAACCTTCGTGCGAACCAGTTCAAAGATTGATTGCGAGCCAGGCCGTTTCTGTTTTGCTCCTTTTTCCAGGAATGCCAGCATGCCCTGTGGCAGATCCCGCGCCTGGAGTTGCGGGCTCAGACTCGCGAATTTTCTTGCCAAGGAGGTTGCACTGTGCCAGTAGGGCACCAGAGGACCAGGACCAAGCTTTCGGCTGGCTTGCTCCTAGGTCGCCGCTGGCGAAGCAGCGGCTCACAAGATTCGACCAGGCCATGAGCTTGGCCACTATGACAATTGTGCACGCCCGTTTGCGCAACCATGTTTGCTGGGTGGGGGTCACGTCTATGGGGTTGAACCTTGCGTCGCCGAATCGAAGTCCGCTTTTGCCGGCCTTTCCCTGCCCGGCGATGCTGGTCCCTCTGTGGAAACCCGGGACGCCCCGGAGGACAAGAGCAAGCCGAAGGGCTGGTGCCGCATTTTCGCAATTTCTGATGCCAGGAGCCCCAGATTTGGAGGTAGGGAGGGGATGCGCTTTGTATCTTTGTTACGAGGAAGGTGGTTTCCACGTTGACAGCGGTTTTATTGGCCTCACGATGGCAGTTCCATATATCAGTCACCAAGCAATACGCATTGGCTAGTTGCTCATCGGCAGCATTGTACTTGGTCATGGGGGCCCCTTGTGGCACAACGGGGGGCATCTTTTGAGAATTTCGCCGGGCAGTTGTGACGGCAAATGGGCAAACCCTGCTGCATGACAAGCAGGACTAGTGTGGCGAATCCTTCGGCTGAGGTGCACATAGATCATGGAGGGTCCGTGCTGAAATGGGCCGAGGGCATCAACGACAAGGCAGCGTCAAAGTGCCCTTGTCAAAGCGTTTGCGCCAAGAGACTGTAGGTCGGCTTCCCATTCGAGCTGGCAAACATGTTTCAAGCAGCATCCAGTATTGCAGTGCGAGCCCTCGGGTCTCCGGAAACCTGATCGTGCAACCAGGAGTTCAAGAATGACATCTTAATCGTGGCGGGAGATCTTGGTGATACCTTCAACGCTATCAAGCATCGCGCTTAGTTCAGTGACCCTTGCTGCTTGCCAGGAGGGCGTCATTGTGTCTTGGAAGCTGCTGACAAAGGGTGTTGTGCAGCATGCCGGCTTGGATTGCCATTCTGAAATCACGTGTTGCCCCACAGGAGATAGGGCGGCAGACATGAAGCAGGATTCGTCTGGCAATTTACGTTCAAGCCGCCCGCGTTGGGCGCCTCCATGTCTTGGTGGCGAGCCGCAGGCGTGCGATTGTGCCGAAGGTGTGAGGCGTGGCTCAACGCCGCACGTGTACGAGCAATGGTGGCCAAGCCTTCCGATAAGGAGGCGGGACACTTCGGGATCAACTTGAGCGGCTTAGTGATGGCTTTTTGGCAGAAGAGCGACGTTTTTGTTTGTTTGTCTGTTGTTTTTCAGCGTTTCCTCGTTTTGTTTTAAGAGTGCAGGGTGGTTGTACGTTGGCAGGGGCAGCTTCGAGTTATTTGTGGTTACCTCTTGGCTGCAAGAGCAGTTTTTACTGGATCAAAGGAGCCGTTTGCGATGCATTTGGTGGTTGCGCCGGTTGGCCATGACTTGCGCCTTGTTTGGGGCTGCGTGCTTGTGGCTAGGGGCACAGGTAAGAGGTGATGAGGTGCTCGGTCTGCTTGGTGTCATGCTGTGTTTGGTGCACCTGAAGCGACCGCGAGCTGCCAAGCTGCGAGGCCCCGGTGGCTTTGAGGCACGGAGATGGCACTGCTTCCATGCAGCAGCCCAGGGCGCCGAATTTCAAGAGTTTCCCACCAGGAGTCGTCCGGGGATGAACTTTGGGCCTTGGAATGTGTCACCATTGTCACCCGAGACCTCGGGCAAAGCATCAAGTGACTCCAACCATCATGGATTTTACGCCTTCTCGTTTTGGCATGCCGTGAGGCCGCGCGTTTGCATGTTCTGGGTGTTTAAGACGCAAAAGCGCAAAGACACACGTAGCGCTGACCAGCTATCCCACCAAGCAGCCGGCCTGCCGTGCCTGACTGCAGGACAGGATGTTGCAGGCTTGGGTGCCGGCGATTCCGAGCTCATTGCCCAGTTTCTAGCCGAGGAGGAGCGGTTCAGCCGTTGGCAAATGCTACACATGTCAATGTGACTGAACCAGGGCCAATGAGTTGAAGCGTAGCGAGTGGCTCTTTGTTTCGGGGAGCACTTCTGTAGCCGAGAGCCCCAAAAAAGAAGAAGAAAAAGAACAGGAACGCCAAGAACGATCCGCAGCTGAGGAGGCTGATAAGATCTTCGCCCTCCTCACGGGCGGTGAGATCGAGTTCCAGCAGTGGTACCACATGCCCGACAAGAAGAAGCCCCACGACCCGCTGCTCCGACTGCAGCGTACCAAGGTGGCCATGGCGGACCCGGAGGCGCATGCGTTGGATCGCCTGATTGACGTATTTTTCCCGGCTCACGACACTACATGCAGAAACCCAAGCTGTTAAAACCAAGGCGACCAACGCAGGCCCCAGATTGTTCATACCCATATTTGCACACACTGCCATAACTATGCGCTGTATGCGACTGCTTGGCACGCCAGTGACATTTTGCAGAAGCCCTGCGGGCGCGCCAGGAGTCAGGGTTGCCCTGGTACCGGTTCCCTGTGAACGACCAGCAGCGCTACGGGGTTTTGCCCATGTCCCCAACAGTGCGAGCCCTGTGCGACCGGGTGAATTCACGATTGGGCATCCGCTTTAACCACGTCGTGGTCTTGTACTACGCGGACGGAAACGATTGCATTGGGTACCACAAGGACTTTTAGCTCGAGTTCTGCAATGCCTTTTCGAGTTGCCGACGTATGGATAGCAATGCATTTGGCCTCGGCTTTCCGTTCTGTTTGGCTATTTTCCCTCATGCATTAGAAGTAGGGCGATTTTGCGCAGAATTTTGCAATTTTCTGGAGACACAACTGATTCACCCCATTCCGGGCAGTAGCTTTGGCGTGCTTCAAGCTCAGTTCGCGCAGTGTGAGGACAAAACCTTGGACCTCGATGAGGGCTCCCCAATCGTGAGCCTCTCCTTGGGCCGGCCTGGGCGTCCCTATGTTTTGCGGGATGACATCTTCGCCCCCAAGCAGGAGATGGAGGCTGGAGGTGATCCAAAGATTGAACGGGTCAAACATGCGGCAGCCAAAGGCCTGGTGAATGGACAATTTGGAGTTTCTACCATGTTTCTACTTTGATTTTTAGCACGGTGATCTTATCGCGTGGGTGCCCACATGCCTGGACGGCTCAGATCTTCCTGCCGCATGGCGGTCTCTTTGCGCTGGGCCCAAAGAGCAACGCCCGCTTCTACCACTCGATCCGGCAAGCGCCACTGGAGAGCACCCAGCCCCGGGTTTCCATCACCTTCCGGAAGGCGCTGGGGTCCGGGGGGGGGGCTGGGATATCTTGGGACGGATGCCCCCCCGACCCCCCGCGCAGGCAGGATTGGAAGTCACCACATTGCGCTTGAGTTGGAAGGGCACGCCAAAAGAGGAAACACACATTCCGATGGTGCATTGAAGCTCCGAAGGTCGCGACCTTCAAAACTGCTGAGGGCAAATTGGAGGGGAAAGGCGCGGACCATCCCAGCTTGAATCTTGGCTGGCCGGTGCTTTCGGTTTGGAGCTACCCCTGGGCCCCTTGAAGCGGGATTTGTAACGATGTGGTTTACTCATCCAGGGCTGAACCACTGTGGCCTTTGCCTTTCACATGTACAGCGCAATGATTCGCTTGCCCAAGCGATGGGAAGATGCAGCCAGTTGGTTGCAAGAAGCGCGGAAGCGGCGCGGCGCGCGCGGCCCGAGGAATTGGCCCACGGCGCTGAACGGCCAGCACCGCAGCGACGAGGATCTGACGAAGCCGCTGCACGTGGAAGTGCCGCCGCCGGCACGCCAGGCGAAGCAGAAGGTAAGGAAGGCGCCGGAGAATCTGTCAGCAGCTGACCTGGAGGTGCTGCGCACTTGCCTGCAAGAGGCCGGCCGAGTTGTTGAATTTCCTTGTGTGACGCGGGGCATTAAAGGCTGTGGATCAAAACCAATGGTACCGTTTTGGGGTAGGTGCACCACCCACTTTAGTCTATTTTAGTGGGGATTGGGATGTTCACTGGGGGTACGATTTGTGTTTTGAACCATTCCCATGAACTTTGAGCGTGTTTAAGCCGTGGAAGCTCTGCGAGGCCCAGCTGGAGCGCTTTTTCGCGCAGGGGGACCTGAAGGGCGCGGGCCACGCGGCGCGGAATGTGCTCCAACGCCCGGACCTGGCGAAGGCGCTGGGGCGCCGCATCGGGGAGGCCTACAATGCCTGGCAGAAGAAGCAGAAGGCGCAGGACCCAGCGAGACGTTTGCCTCACCGAAGCGGACGCTGTGGGTCAAAACCAATGGTGCCATTTTGGGGTAGATGCACCACCCATTTTAGTTGATTTTAGTCGGGATTAGGATGTCCACTCAAAATAGGGGCTTTTGACCCATGGCCAAATAGGTCTGAGTAGCTTAGCTGGTGCTCGCCTCCGACCCTGCGTTTTTGGGCAAGGTTTTGGGCCGGAGCCGTTGCAACGTGCGCGACCCAATTGAGCCATGCCCGGTGAGTACAAAGCTGGGTGCTGAGGACTTGGGACAGACAATTACGGCACAGGGCTGTCCCACCCGCAGTTGACCAACTTGGAAGGTGGCGGCTATTTCTGTCATTGGCCATTCAGGGGGCAACACCCCCAAAACCAAAAGCAAGAGGGTGTCCTCCTGCTGGTTGTTCAAGGCGGGTGTTTGTTTCTGTACTGCCTGGACCTGTGTCAGGTTGGCAATCCACCAGTGACAGTTTTCTTCAATCCAGCCACTCCTGCCAGCACGCCGCGTGGCGAATGAGGTTAACCAAGGGGCCATCAACCTAAACTTGGCACCTCCACGACTCCACAACTTTGGACCTTTGGACAAAGATATGCTTGCTTCCAAGGCGAGTCTTTCAGGACCCCCGAGCCTCCCAGGAGCCCGCTGCACCCAAGCCAGCGGAAGAAGCAAAGGCGGCATTGGTGCCGGAGGTGCGCGTCTGGGAGTTGCAAAAGAATCGCAAGTTCCACGTGGCAGGGCAGAGGGGGTGGGTTCGTAGGCGGGTGGATGTTCACATTCAAGAGCTCAAGATGTGACCACCCTCAAAGGGCGGTTCATTGCTGGCCGCATCACCAACTCATTTGAGACGAAACAATGACCTTCTTGCATGTATCTATGCCAAGGATATTCTCAATTTGTTTGGACCCATCAAATGCGCTGCACCGCGGCTTGGAGGAGTGTGCTGCAAGATCAGCTGCGCAAGTCAAACACTTGGAGCTGCTTTTCCGTCGTACGCCACGCCTGCAGGAAAACAGCATCGACTTCAGCAGAAAACTGCCTAATGTTTCGTGCAAGTCCCGCGCAGTCAGATGACCCCAAGGCGCTTCCAAGCGAAGGCTCCCTCATGTGTTGCCACTTGGTTCGGGTGGGCGCCCCCAGGACCCCAAAAACCGCCGTGCGCGCGTTTGGGCCGTCAGGGAGGCTCCCCCCCCCCCCAAACCAGGCAGCTGGTGGGCTGGTGGCCAGCTGCTTGGCCTTCGGCGCCAGGCTGGCGCGGTGGTGCGGGCCCCAGGGCGCCACGCCCCAGGCGGGTCTTGGGGCCGGGGGATGGGGCCCCAACGGGGTAGGAAGTGCAAGGTGCAGCGATGGATGGTGCTTTCCGCTTTCCTTCTTGGAAGGCAGCTCTAGTGATTGTAACGTTGGGCTGGCACTTGGGCTCGTTTGCTTTCCGCTGACGGGAAGCCTGCGAAATTCAGACATTTGAAGCCAACATTTTGCAGACCGATCAGCGCCGACCAGTTTGTTGCATTGGAATCCTCAGGGACGGCTCATACCATTTGCAAAAAGTTGCACACCACTTTGACTCAGACCTCAGTTTATGCAAGGCTGTTTTACCACACCGCTCGCCTCCCCAAGTGCACCCCTCCAAATGCATCCTCATAAAAGCCAAGGAGGGGCCAATATTCACTTTCTGCCCATGGCCGAAACCGCCAATACTTTTTTCTCCGTTCTTGCTTGCCACCTTTTTGCGGTGTTGGGCAGGAGATCCTGAAGTTCTGGTTTGGGGAGGCGCCGTACAAGTTCCGCTCCGGGCTCTGGTGGCGGGGCATTGACCCAGCGGCCCCGCTGGAGGGGCCCGGCTCCACGGACCGCCGCATCTTGGAGCGCTACGGCCCGCTGATTCGCAGCTGCCGGAACGGAGTGGAATCCTCCAAGGTGCGGTGAGGGTGGCCAAGAACCATGTGGCTGTGGGTCAACATTAAGCAACCAGGGGACCGCAGATTTTAGTTCACATGTCCATTTACCAGGGTTGAATGTTGGGTACCTGTTTTTGACCCGCAACCATGTGTTTGACTTGGGAGGGCATGCTCAAGGTTAAGAAAAGCACGCCCAGCATCACTCCGAATCAAGAAGCACGTGAGAGCCACTTCCGACCTCGCACTCAAGCGCCCAGTTGCCCATCGCCTCGGAGCAGGGTGAGGGTCAACCACGGGCTTCTCTTGAAGGATCTCATCAAGTCAGCTTTGCCTTGGCACCGCCCTACGAGAGAACTAAGTTGTTTAGGTCTGTGCGAGCTCTGGGCCCAACTTGGGAGGGGAGGGCTCTAAGGGATTGTTGGATTGGGAGAGGCCGCCACAGTTAGCTTCAAGCCGCTTCCTTGCGAGTGGCTGGCAGGACTAATGCGAAATGGCCGCCTCATCCCACTATAACTATAACTCTCCCCCCAACTCAGGGCCAGCCAAGGAGGGTCGGAGGGACTGATAGTTTCAGCACCTTCCCACTGAGATGCTTAGACCATGGTCGCCTGTGGTAGGTCAGCTCTTGGACTTCCAGCTGGGAGGGCAGGCGCAGCGGAGGTTGCGACATGGAAAACGGGGGACTCCAAGGTGCTGCCCTAGTCCAGGGGTGCTGTCAGGGAAGTCGCCAGGTTGTGCCACGAACTGTTTCATCTCATGCCAAAGCGCTCACAGCCTTTGCATTGAGCCCCCGCCCTGCTGCAAATGCCAGGTGCGCTTTGGTCCTGCTTCTGGACCAGTTCCCCCGAAATGCCTTCCGGGGCACTGCGGAGATGTTCCAGTACGATGCCTTGGCACAATCCTGGGCGCGGCGCGCAAAGGAGCCCACGTGATTGGATCATTTTGTCAAGCAATTCAGCACGGATTGGGAAAAGCAGGATTCGGGCAAAGTTCAGAGCCGCGTTAAACATCGGTTGGGAATCAGGTCAAGCGAAGCACGCATACACAAACCCAGCCCAGTTTAGTGAGCACCGTCAGTTCAGTGTGCAGCCTCCCGTGTAGTGTGCGTGAGACATGTTCAATTTCGCACACCGGCTCAGTTTCGCGCGCTGTGATGCAATCGATTTACATTCTGTGCATTCTGTTGACGGGCTGTTCAATTGTGATGTGACATGATAGTCCTTGAATTGCGCGGCGATGCTTTATCCAGGTAGCCGCTTGGTTTGCCAGGAGGAGGACGTGCCTTGGCCTCACAAGCTTTTCTGCTATGTGGCCCTGATGCACGCGGAGGACTTGGAGGTGTGCGGGCGGCACCTTCACAGCGGTGCTCGCAGGGGCATCGCTCGAACGACCTGGCTGGTCAAAACCAATGGTACCATCTTGGGGTAGGTGCACCACTGATTTTAGAACCTATTTTAAGTGGGGATTGGGATGTTCACTAGGGGTGCAGGCTTTTGACCCATGGCCACCTCTCTCCCAGCACTCAGACCGCCCATTGCCCCCGCCCCCGCGTACCCCTGAGGTAGTGGAGGAGGCGAGCCTGGGGCTGCTGCGCTTGTCGGCCGAGGTGCCGGGCAACCTGGGACCGCGCATCAAGTCGATGCATTTGGAGGCCAGGGGATCGACGTGCTACACATGGATCGTGGCTGGCCGCACGTTTGTTGCAAAAGGAAAGCAGCGGAACTAGTTTTTGCTGTCCGCACTCTTGGAGCAACATCAGGTGGTGGGTGACAAGGGGGGGGGCTTGAAACTCATGCATGCTTCGAGTGTTTCATCCATCCAGGTTTCTTGGTTGCGTTTGGCCCATGACTTCAACCATTTGAAGTTCTTTGTGCAACTGGGCTGCCGCCACTTGGAAGCCTCCTCAACCCAGCCCGGGAAGTCCACACGCGAACTTGGGACCTCGCACCAGGCGAAGAGCCATGCCTCCGTGCTGCGCAGCCACGGCCGTGCCCCGGTGCGACATGAGCTCAAATGATTACCCCCTCCTCGAATCATGGAAGCTGACAGGGGGGTTTTGGAACACTGCTTTCCTTTCGTGGAAGGCACAGCCGCTTCCATGATCGGGAAGGGCAGTTGCTGTTCACAGGACGCATGGTAGCAAGACACTTCAAGATTTGACCAAGCCAAGATTGTTTGGGCCAGAGACACGGCAAACCTACCTCCATTCCAACTTGATTTGAGAGTTCTCTGGATGCGAGAAAAAAAAGGCATGTGTCAAGCCGGAGCCAAGCTTTGCCTCAGCACCGTAAAGTCCAGCAAAGTCATCAACTTTCTTTGCGCGCGCTGGCCTCGCATGATGGGTCTTGTGCTGAGACCTGCAATCCTTGGTTACCCGGGCCCGCGGAACGGCAGGGGAACTGCAGCGCCGAGGCTACCCGCACCGCAACGAGCTGCTGGGCCGCGCCAGCACCGCCAAGGAGGTGGAGTGGCTGCGGTCCAAGAGGCTCCCGGCCTGGGCACTGTCCGTGCGGCCCAAGTTCAACAAGGCGCGCCAAAACTCGGCAGATGCTGTTGGTGGGCATGCGAGCTATGCATTGTCAAAGTTAGTTGCGGGTTTGGGTTCTGCCTCCCTATCTGCGTTTTAGTGTTGAGTATTTTGCACCATCAATGAATCAACTTTTAGTGTGTGGGCCGTTCCTTGTTTGATTCGAAGCTGGCTTTCCATCACAGCCAGGCATGCCCAAACATGCTCATATATAACTACATCTTGTCGCGCGCTTTGCTGCTTGCCCGAACATGCGGGATGTAAGGCAGGAGCCTAAACCCGAACAGACCCCACAGTTTGCTGATTCTCTCGCTTTGGGTTCACTGCGAGTGTCGCGCTTCCCCTCCAGGAGCCGACGGAAGCGGCCGTGGCAGCGGAGCCGAAGCCGGGGAAGCTGCGGATCTTGGTGCTGCACAGCAACCGGCAGAATGCGCCAGACTTCAAGAAGCGGACCCGGGCGGCCTTCGAGCCCTTGACCGATGCTTGGCGGCAAAGCATCGGATTCAAGAAGACAGCTAGACGTGGGAAGCGGGGCTGGCCTGCTTACGAGCCAAGCTGTGAGCGGGCCATTTTTTAGAGACCATTGAGTCGATCAGCAGTTCCCAGCAAAGGCTCTTGGGTTTGGTGTGGGTCAGAGATCTGGGGCACGCTTGCTTCGGCAGGAAGTTGCTGATTTGCACTTCGTGGACGCACCCTTTACCTACACTCCCATGGGTGAGGCTTGGGCAGAGGGTTGGGGAGACTCTGTTGCTAGGGGTCAGCGATGATCAGTGCAAATCTCTTTGAGGGCAGACGTAGCATGATGGAACAGATGCCAAGGAATGCCAAAGGTGCAGTGTGGCCTGAGTGGTCCGGGGTTCAGTAGGTCCTTTTCTTGTTGTGTGTGTGTGTGTTTTTTTTTTTGGGGGGTTCCGCGCAGAAGCAAGGCTTCTCACTTAACGTCCTGCGCTCTCGCAGGCAAATGCGCAAGCAGGGCATTTGGGCGCCTCTGCGCCGAAGAATCGCTCCTGGTGGATTCCCGGCAAAGAACATCTGACATCGTTGGGCCTTCGGGGCAGTGTCAGGTGGGTAGACCCTTCCAGATGACCTATGAAGCTTTGATCGCTTATATATATATATATTCCACCTTGTCATTGGGACGCTTGCTTTTTTGACAATTTTTGAGACTTCCCCTCCAAGATCCTGCAAGTATTCATACTTTGCCGGTATCAAGGAGGCACATTGCTGCAACCCGTGAGGTTGGAAGAATCGTGTTTTTTTGCGCCTTGGGCGTGCCGCATGCCATGAAGCCATCCGGGGAGCGCTCCCCAGGCAAAGGAAGAGGAAAAGCAACTGCGAGAGCATTGCTTTGGGGACATGACAGGGGTTGGTGCACAGTATGCCCTCTCGGATGCATAGCAACCAGGAATGCTACGGATGATCCCGCAACGATGCGCTATGCTGCTGGGCGGCAGTCGGGTGTGCAATCCGAAGACTCGGAGCTAGGTGCTGTACTTTCAATGGGTGTGTCGAGTTCTTTGGACATCTGTTTGAAATCCAGGCAGACAATCCCCTTGCTTGCTGCAGCGGCCTGAAACGGGCTCTTGGCACCCCACCTCTCTTGGACGGCTTACCGATGGTGCGGCAGAGAGGGAGAGAGAATCCCCTTGTCCACCAGGTGGGCCTGGAGCAGTCCCTGGACCACCTGGACCAGACCTTCCTGGCCCACGGGCCCTTTGACGGCGTCTTGGGCTTCTCCCAGGGCGGCTGCCTGGCGGGGCTCCTGGCGGCCATGCAGCCCCGCCGCCCGGCTGTTGTTAGGTTTGTTTGTTTTTGTGGGATGAGTGTGGGGTTAGCCGAGATCATGAAGTTTGCGGGCCACTTGCAAGTCCATGATGCCAGGTCTTGCAACGCAAAACGTCAAATATGGTTGACCACATGAGCCACCTGAGACCCTAAGGCCTGATATGTTGGGGATCTACGAGAAAGTTTGCACCTTTTTTGTGGGTATTGTTTTGAATTGTTTTGAAGAAAAGGCCAGCACACTTTTGCCAGATAGCTTTTAGTGCTATAGGGTCTCAAGGGGGTGCTCACGTTTAAAGAGGTTTAGCGAAATCGGGGCACTTGGCCGTGTCGCTTGCTCAGGCGGCAACATCAAGCCCCCAAGCCGCAATGAGGGGCAGCAAGAGCAGCCTGTTGTCATTGCTCAGAGGCTCAGAGGTCTGCCGGCCACCTGCCGAAGGTTGCATTGCGGATTTTTGCTTTGCAGATTTTGTTTTGAGCCGTGCACTTGATGCTCTCAGCTCCAAAGTCGCCATGTTGGCCCAGGTTCCGCTTTTGCGTGTGGGCCTCAGGGGCCCTAGGGCTGAAGCTGGGCGGGAAGCGTTGCCTTGGAAAGGCGGATGCGACATGAAACAAGTTAGTTGGACAAGCCACCGGCAGAATGATAGTAGTGAAGACAAGCCATTCCAGCCCAGGAGTGACGAACCCCTCCAACTTCAACCAACATCCCTGAGATCAGATTTGCTTCCATGCCCGGCAGTTTGTACAAAGGAGGTGCGTAAGATCAACCCAAAGCTTGACATCGACTGGTGGGCGCTAGTCCTCTCACGGCATTTGGCCCTTGAAGTGTAGCCCCTGCGGCTTTGGACACGGTCCCCCGCTTCTGAAGCAGATTGGAATTTCTATCGATGGGACCCATAGGCGATGGGACGCAAGTGAGGTGGTGATCTCCGGCTTCTACTGCCGGGACGTGGAGTTCTGCAAGCTGCAGCTGGAGGAGGTCCCCGAGAAGCACAGCGCCACCTCGGTGCGGCCCAAGGCCAGAGCGAGTCTCCGTCGGTGAGTCTCTGAGTCGGAGCTCGGAGCCCAGCTCTGAAGCGGCCTGGGGCTTTTTTGAAGTCAAGAAGGGGTTTTGTTG